GGGGAGTGAGAGTGGGAGAAGCAGGTTTCCTGCTGAGCAGGGAGCCCGATGCGGGGCTCGATCCCAGGACCCTGGGATCATGACCTGAGCTGAAGGCAGACGCTTAACGCCTGAGCCACCCAAGTGCTCCTCTCAAATATTCTTTCTGCCCTCTTTTCTCTCCTCTTCTTCTGGGATTCCTATAATGCATTTGTTGGTATATTTGATTATTTCCCACACAGGTCTCTGAGGCTCTGTTGATTTTTATTCTTTTTTCATTTCCATTCATCCAACTGGAAAATTGCAATTGACCTATCTTCAAGTTTGCTGATTCTTTCTTCTTCCTGTTCAGATCTGATATTGATCTTGTCTAGTGACTTTTTCATTTTAGTTATTTTACATTTAAACTGCAGAATTTCCACTTGGTTCCTTTTCATAAATTCTCTTCACTGATATTTTCTATTTGATGAGTCATTGTTTGTATACTTTCCTTTAGTTCTTTAGGCATGGTTCCTTTAGTTCTCTGAACATATTTAAGATCATGGACTTATAGTCTTTGTCTAATAAATCCAATGTCTGGGTTTCCTCAGGAACAGTTTCTATTAATTGCCTTTTTTTCTTGTGTATGTGCCATGATTTATTTTTTCTTTGAATGTTTCATATTTTTTGTTGTTGTTGAAAACTAGACATCTTAAATATATAACATGACAACTGTGGAAATCAGCTTCCTCCCCTCCCGAGTGTTTCTTGTTGTTTCTACTTGTTATGAATATTGTTATTTGTTTAGTGATTTTTCTGGACTAATTCTGTAGTCTGTGTTCTATATTATATGTGGCCACTGAAGTCTCTGCTCATTTAGCTCAGTAGTCAGCTAGTGATTGGACAGAGATTTCCTTAACCACCTGGAACGAATATGATTCCCATTCTTTGCCAAGGGACTCCATTGTGTGTTGGGGGTATGCCTTCAACAAACAGCCAGGCAGTTTACAACTTTGCCTTAGCACTCATTTCCTGCTTGTACAGAGCCTCAAGTCAGCCAGAGGTGAGAGCATAGGGCCTTCACAGGTCTTTTCTGAGCATTTTTACAGCCATGGCAATATGCACAACCCTGTGTATAGGCATAGACTTTTAGATTCCCAGAAATACACAGGAGCTTTCCAAAGCCTCTATGAACATCTCATTCCCCAGCTCTTCTTTTAAGTTCTTGGTTAGTCCATTGTTTGCCCCAACTACTATTCACCTCTTCAAGCAGCCATGAAGTTAAACAATTGATTATAATTGTTTTGACAAATGTCCTGAGGGAAAAGTCTGTTTGTACTGGAAAAACCCAGAGTCAGGTCAAATACAGACAGCAAGTGAGGTCAGATATAGACAGGAAGGACAAGAACTACTAGCAGATGAAATAATGATAATTCTCTGGGAATGAGGCTTTGGAGGAACTCCATCCCTGTCTGTTTCCTCTGGTGGCTGCCAGCCTGCTAGTTTTCACCATGAGTATAGGCTGTTAATTTTCAAGGCCATATAGAGTTGGTAAGTGAAATACAGGAAAAGTTAAAACATTGCAAAATTCTTTCTTTTTACCAAAATTCTGCAGGTGTTCTTGAATAAATCCTGCCCAGAATCCTGCAAGGCTTTGGTTAACTTACTGCTTTCTGAAAAAGCTGCTTTTGCCCATTGTTGCCAATTTTCTCATTATTTTTATGGAGGGGAGAATTTTTGAAGGTTTCTACTCTGCCATTTTCACTGGCATCACTTGCTTCCATGCTTTTGCAGCTGTTATTTTCTTTTCATGAGCACCCTTCCCTTCCTAAACACCCTCATGAATCCTTGTCACCTTTAAGGCTCAGTCTAAATGTTCCTTCTTCAGGGAAATTTTTCCCTAACCTGCCAGGCAACATTGCTTTTACTTACTTTAACACCATCAGTGGTCTTGTGCATATTTATCTGTTGTACTTATTACACCCTGTGTTACAATTAAGTGTCTATATTTCTCTCATCATTAAAATAGGTCGTTTTCATTTGTCTTCAATCAGTTTGCAACTTTTCAGTGTGGCGCCATGTTTAATGTAATGAATATTTTTTGTTGTTGTTGTTGTTGAAAACTTAAATGTACACAGCTATTCTACAGATTTTACTTAAGACTTTAAGTTAGGAAATGCAAAATTCACTTATCAAGAGATTAAAACCAAGTTATTGATAGACCCTCAAATTGCAGACAGATTTGTCAGTTATGTATTTTTCTGTCTACTTTACATAGCAGTCTTCTAGAAGTAGTTGGCTTTTACCCAATTCAGGGTTACAAACTATATGAAGAATAATTACTGTGTCCCCAGCTTGTGGAGAAAAACTATTATAATTCCCCAGTAATTACAGCCATGGTTTGTTATATCTTTAACTGGGTCATCTCAATTAACCTGAAATATTTATAACAGATATTTTGGCTTAGGAAGCTTCTAGAGATTGTTAATCAAAAGAAGTTATGGTGAACTGTACTAGGCTTTCAAGCTGGGGTACAAAAAACTGTAGATGTGGTTGACCTCTATGCTGTTTCTTTCATGTCCTTTTTTGTTTGTTTGTTTTTAAAGATTTTTTTTATTTATTTATTTGACAGAGACAGAGATCGCCAGAGCAGGAACACAAGCAGTGGGAGTGGGAGAGGGAGAAGCAGGCTCTCTGCTGAGCAGGGAGCCCGAGGTGGGACTTGATCCCAGGACCCTGGGATCATGACCTGAGCTGAAGGCAGATGCTTAACGACTGAGCCACCTAGGCGCCTTTTCATGTCCTTTTTTGATAGGGCTTTTATATGATATATGTGTTGCATGGTGTCATTCAACATTATCATTTATCTTAGATCACTTAAGTTTCATTTAATGATTGATGTATAATTAGATTGAGCTGGAAAGCTGAGGATTTATGTAATCTTGCTCTCAATTGGATATTGAAGAGGAAAGCAGAACCTAAGCAATTCTTGGTGCCAGGAGCCCAAGAATCCTTGGATATCTCCAGTGCTAATAACTGACTGCTCAATGTTGTAATAAGGCAAGAATTTACAGAGAAACAAGATTATTTGAAATAAAGCCACATGAGGTGGAGATAAAGGCTTAGTCTTTACTTCCTGGTTGTTCTGGCTGCTTATGACTGATGGGGGTTGTCATGGTAATGGGAGAGAATGAATTGGGAGGCGGCTGTGATAGTCATTGCAATGCAGAAGGGGATTTAATGTACATATCCTTTGTTAATAGGACTTTGTCATAGTCTTCTTCTACATAGGGCTTAAATATCATGTCACCTCTTCTGATGCTAGAGTGCAAAATTAAGACGGTAAAAATATACTAAGTTCTGCAAATCAGACTTGTCTCCGTGTTCACTCCATTATCCCATGACCCCAAGGAAGCTTAGATATGAGGCAGAGACTTGGTAATGAAAAATTTTTAGTGTTTGTATGATGAATTAAGGAACTATAGCCAAATATAAAAGAGTTATTTCAATTGGTACCGGTCATTTGGCACTCTGTTCCACAGGTTTTTTTAATTAAATGTTTAATAATTAAAGACTCATTGATGTTTAGGTATCAGACTTCATTAATTTTTTTCTATTTTTATTGTTGTTATTGTTTTTTCTGGATGGTTTGACCTTGATCATTTTTATTTTTAGGGGCCCAAAAGGCCAAATTTTATTTTCTCAATATTGACTGTAGATTATAAACTGCCATAAACCTATGGTAAAAAGCCATGTTTTCCTTGACATTTGGTTTCCTTAATCATGTTTCAATAACAAATACTGTGGTTTCTGACTAGTGAGACAGAAGTGGGCTCTGAGTGTTCCTTTTGGAGATGATGCCTCCAGCATGTACTTTGAGAGGTTTTTCCTTTCTCAGAGGAAAGTTAGGGTGTTATATCTAATGTAGCCTTTGTGGACTTTGTGGACTTTTCTAAAGTCCTGAGGGAGAGCTCAGAAGAAAGATTTTACTTTAATAGATTCCTGATTTGGATGCCTACATCAAGAACTCTATGTTACCAAGACAGATCATCAGGAGACTCATTTGAAGAGTCCCCGCGAGGCCTCCTATAGAGAAATAATAAATGGGTAATTAGGGTGGTGGTAATAGTGAGCTTCCTGTGATCCTAAGATTTGAACTCCTGAGTAAAGAAGAATGATAATGCTGTCCCCAGCTTCGGGGAGAGGTGGGAAGAGCATCCGAAACCTGTCCCAGAAAAGCAAAGAACTCACCCTTCAGAAGACATCAGCTGAAAGGTTGTTCCACCTTCCTGGGGCAATTGGTTGACTGGTGGGAGAGAGGACAACAAAGGGTGGTGCCACTAAGATGTCTCTCTCCAGCCCCGGAAAACCCACGTGAGTGTGCTAGTCTGCTAGAGCCGCCATAACAAAATACCACTGACTGGGTGGTTTAAACAATGAAATTATTTTCTCACAGCTCTTTTTTTTAATTTAAAAAATTTTTTAAAGATTTTATTTATCTATATGACAGAGAGAGAGAGCACAAGCAGGGGGAGCGGCAGGCAGAGGGAGAGGGGGAAGCAGGCTGAGCTGAGCAGGGAGCCCTACCTAGGGTTCGATCCTAGGACCCTGGGATCATGACCTGAGCTGAAGGCAGACACTTAACTGACTGAGCCACCCAGGCGCCCCAATTTTCTCACAGTTCTGGAGGATAGAAGTCCAAGATCAAGGTGCCAGTAGGGTTGGCTTCTCTTGAGGCTCCTTCCAGATGACTGTCTTCTCGTGTGTCCTCACATGGCCTTTCCTCCATGCAGACATCCTGGTGTCTCTTCCTTTTTCTGAGAAGGACACCAGTCAGATTGGATTAGGGCCCCACTCAAAAGGTCTCATTTTAATTTTATTACATCTTGAAAGGTCTTGCCTCCAAATACAGTCACATTCTGACGTACTGGGGGTTAGGAATTTAACAGATGAATTTGGGAGGGACATAATTCAGTTCATACCAAGATGGGACAGGAAACTCTACCCCTGGGGGGCGGAGGAGGAGAAAGCTCACAAAAAAGGGAACTGTAATTGACCTGGCAACTAATAATCATCTAGTTATAATCAAAGTTGCTGAAGCATAGTCAAAAGAACTGAAAGGGATGATTGGGTCCCTTATCCCAATTTATCTTTCTCCCAGAGCAGCAGGAGAAGGTGACAGCAGCAATGGGCATGATATAAAAGAAAATGGTGATGCTCCTGAAGGAAACAAGGGTCAGCAACATATCCAATCAGCCACAGATGGATCTGCTGAGAAGTCAAGAGAATAAAAAGGTGTAAGACACAGTCCCAGACATCAGAGACCACAAAATCCCATTCAAGCATAAGGTAGGAACATGTGGAAAGTTATTAAATACAGAGATATGATCCAAGCACTTACCAAGAGTTTTTGAGACCCCTATGTGCCCAACACTGGGCATGGCACTAGGAATTCAATGGAGAGCAAATAGACCTGGTCCCAGACCTCTTGTGGCTTCTACTCTAGAGGGGGAGACAGACTAGTAGTCACACAAATAATTTCAAACTGGGATAAGTGCTTTAGAAGAAAAGGACAGTGGGACAGGATTGAGTGTGAGAGAGAACAAATCCATCTCAAGGGAATTCGTGGCTTTTTACCATAGGTTTATGGCAGTTTATAATCTACAGGAACTGAAATGTAAGTTGAGGCCTCAAGAATAAGAGTTAGCCAGGCAAATAATCAAGGGTACCTTGTTCCAGCAGAGGGCATTTTGTGAGCTAAAAGCAACACATCACTTAAAAAAAATAATAATGTGAAATTTTTTTCTGATTATATAAATGATGTGGGCTTATAGAAAATTTATTTTATGCAGAAAAGTATTAAAAATTTACCTGAAACCTCATTTCCTTGGGATAACTACTATAGGAATATATGCTGTTTTATATGGTAAACTGCAGCTGAAAGCCTCTTTTTCTTCTTTAGTTTCTTCCCATACTGTCTCTGCCTCCTCCCTCTCTGTCCCTCATTTGTGAGCCATTTGCATCCCATTTCTTAACTAATAACCATATCTGTATATTTCCATACTTTTTCCAGGTTATTATATATATACTACCTATAGATTACTACCCTCAGATGCTGATTTAATTGGTAGGGTCCAAGCATCTATTTCAAAAGCTCCCCAGATAAGGGACACCTGGGTGGCTCAGTTGGTTAAGCGTCTGCCTTCGGCTCAGGTCTTGATTCCTGGGTCCTGGGATCAAATCCCACCATCAGGCTCCTTGCTCAGGGGGGAGCCTGCTTCTCCCTCTGCCTGCCACTCCCCCTGCTTGTGCTCTCTTTCTCTCTCTCTGGCAAATAAATAAATAAAATATTTTTTTAAAAAAAGCTCCCCAGATGATTCTATGTTTAACCAGGGTTGAGAACCATTGATTCTAATCATTCTTTCAAATAGTTGCACACTATCATATGATGTGGATGGTCACTTTTTATTCAACTATTGCACCATTGATAGACAATCCTTTATCTCCATTATAAATAATGCTATAATATACATTCTTGTACTTATATTTTCTAGCTCACTTGTAAAATGGAAATAATGATAGCACTTATCTCTATCGGCTTGTCATGTAGATAAAGTGGCTCAATATTTGTAAAATATTTAAAACAGTACCTGATGTGAAATGTATTTAAGATGATGATACCATCATTATAACTTGTATCTGATACTTTTATATATGATTATTTATTTTGGGGGGTTGAATTCTGAAGGGTGAGATTTCTGGGTTATATTTTTTAAATTTTGGTAGATATTGCCAGAATACTTTCCAAAAAGGTAACAATGATTCATACTTATACTGATAATGTTTCAGAAGGATAATTCGCCCAAATCCTTGTCAGCAACACAATTTTCTACTCTTTTTAGCATTTGCCAGTTAGATAAAAAGTGATATTACTTCTTTAATTCCTTACTTTATTTTACATTTCCTGCACTATAAGATAACTATTTTATTGATCATTTTGATTTGTTGTTGGTGGTGGTGATGGTGTGTGTGTGTGTGCATGTGTGAGAGAGAGCAAAAGACAGATTCTCCTTTTATTTTCCTTTGCCTATATTTTCTACTGGAATATTTGTCTTTTTCTTATCATTTGTAAGAGCTCTTTATTGACACATATAGTAACTGTTTTTCTTCATTTATCTTGTGACTATTTTATCCTGAACTATTATTTACCTTTTTAGTTTTTGTGGTACCTTTGTTCACATAATCAGTTTTAATGTTTATATAATCAAATATATCTGTATTTTCTTATATACCTTTTGGGTTTCTTGACTGAAACCCAATTCCTAGATTTTACATATATTCTCTTAAAATTTATTTCAAGATTTAAGAAGTATGAATTTATTTTACCTTAAAAATATGGTATGAGATAGAGTGAAGAAAACTTAATTTTCTTCAGGGTAGGGAGCTAGTTTTTATACCAGCATTTATTAAATAAGGCATCCTTTCTTGCTTGGTGCTTTTAAAGAAATAAAAAAGATAATTGGGGCTAAAATTTTATGGGAATGGGGGAGAGGAGTAGTGAGAAATGAGAGTTGAGAAGTAGTCAGGAATCAGGTCACACAAGATGGTAGGCATAAAAAAGGACTTTGGAACTTACCACAAAAAGCAATTCCAGGGGTGCCTGGGTGGCCCAGTCAGTTGAGTATCTGACTCTTGATTTCAGGTTGGGTCATGATCTCGGGGGCATGGGATTGAGCCCTGCATCAGGCTCTGCATTCTGCTAGAAGTCTGCTTGTCCCTCTGCTCGCATGCATGCTCTCTCTCTCTCTCTCAAATAAATAAATACAATCTTTAAAAAAATTATTTAAAAAAAAATGAAATTCTATTTAAGAGTTTGAGCAGGAGAGAGATATGATCCAATGAGAATTTTAAGATTGCTCACCCCAGGAGTCTCACATCTTTTTGGGATATATATATAATCTATAATAAAAATCGGGCTTTCTCCCCTTCTGTTTAAAAAAAAAGATTGCTCACCCCAGTGTGGAAATGGTGCTGAGGTACAAGTAAGGAAGTAGAGGGACAGTTTATACTGGAATAGTCCAGGTTAGATGCGATGATGATGTAGAGAAGAAGGGGCACTGGTGGTCAGGATTGGATGGATAGACCCAAGAGCTATTTTGGAGGCAGGCAGGGTTGAAGGGAAGATTGAATGTGGAAGGTGAAGGACGGGAAAGAGTCAAAGATGACTTCATTTTGGGGATGAGGGTGGTTCCTTTTTCTGATCTCCTTAAAACTGGACAAAGAACAGATTTGAGAGAAATATCAAGAATTTAGTATGAAAGAGATGAAAACAATCATAAAGGAACATTATTATGCAAAGTCTGTGGCAGTCAACCTGAAAATTTAGAGGAAATGGATGATTTTTGAGTCAAATGTAAATGGCCAGCACTGACCCTAGAAGGGATAGAAAAATTAAACATATCAGTAGCCTTGGGAGATATTCAAAAATGGAGATTTTTCACTTTTAAAGGCCAGAATGCTTTGGCAGCTGAGTTGTATCTAAGCTTTGAAGAAAAGACATTTCTTATATTATTTAAGCCATTCTAGACTACTGAAAGATATAGATGAGTTGTGGCGTTGTTTCCAGGCAGAAACCTTGAAACAAAGGGAATGCCCATCAGAAGTCGAGTAAATTGTGGCACATTTATACCATGGACTACTATATAGCTATTTAAAGAGTGAATTCTGTCTATAGCAGCAAACATGGTAGGGCAGGGGTTGGGGGGGATTTATACACTACATTGTTAGGGGGCAAGATGCAGAGAAAGTGTATATAATATTATCCTGTTTTTGTAAAAAGAAACAGCAAAACAAAACCTAAATGGTATGTATATACAAATGTAGAGGCAATGTAGAGTTCTTACTTTTTCTTTGTATATTTCAAATGGTTTCACCTGTTACCATGAGAATCTATTACTTTCATGATAAAAGATGAAAACTAATCAGTTAGGTTTTAGATATGTTGATTTTGAGAAATCTTCAAGATATCTAGAAGGAAATGCCAAATGGTCAAGATACTGTAAGATCTGGTGTTTGGAAGAGAGGCATGAGCTGGAGGTCATCAGTGGGAGTCATGGCAGTGGGACATTTGAAGTCATGGGAGTGGGTAGGACTGCTAAATGGTATGTAAAGTAAGTGAAAAATAATACACAAGACCACACTAGAAGGAACTCTGCAAAGAGATATCCAGTGAAAGAGGAAGCACCAATGAAAGAGACCAGGATGGAACAACCAGAAATGCCACAAGGCAAACAAGTGTTTCTGGGATAGTAGACATTGAGTGGTGTGGGGTTCAGAGGGACCTCACTTTGATAGAAGTGGTCTTCACAGATAACCCAGAAACCCATAAGAGAAATAATCTCTCTCCCCACCCCCACCATTTCCTTTTCACCACCAGAATATTAATGACGACCAATTGTTTCACATCCTTCACAGCTTCTTTCTAAGATGGCATAAGGACAGGTATTTATAAGTACTATTGACTCAAAGAAACAAAGCTTCCTTGAGTAAGCTCTCATGCTTGAACACCATCAAATGGGATTGGAGGAAACTGGGGTCCATCTATGAAGAAACCAATGCCTTCAGACAAGGCTTTGAAAACAGAATTTTCTATTAAGAGGCATCATTGAGGAGCTGAATGGAGCAAATTTGTAAGAAAGTCATGTGCTGGTGGTAGACAATACCCAGGACCTCTTAGAGCAGCCACTCCAGTCAAAGTGCTAGAGACTTTATGTGTTGCTCAGATCTCTCCTCTTCTTTCTAACCCTCCTGCTCTCACCCTAGTTCACTGCCTAGTGGTAGTGTGTTATTAAAATAAATAAGCATTTATTTGTAGCATTTACACCACTTCCGAACCAGTCCCCTATGTGTGGCTTCTCAGGGTCTCTGCCTAATGTTAGGTTGTGCACTGCACAAGGATACCTGAGTGAGGGATGAGTGGGGCTGAAATCTAATGTGCTCTACTTACCAAACCATGAAACTTTGTGTGGACTGCTTCTCCCTGGAAGGTCTTGCTCACACTGGTGTGGTCAGCTCACCAAACATTAGCCTTATAGGATTGGGAAAGGGGCCACCCTTCTCTGATTTGCGCACTGGGTGTTGAAGTGTCTAGTATCGGTTCTGAGTCCCATGACAACAGCGAACCAGACACAATCTCTGCCTGCGAGGCTGACAGGCTAGTTGAGGTGGATAATCCCATACACAACTAGCTGCAAAGTAAGTTACTTTAAAGAACAGTGTCTGACATATCAGTGCATTGTTCAAAATTCTTCAAAGGCTCTCCGCTGCTTACAAGGAAAAATCAAAACATC